CGTCTTCGCAATAGGGTTTGCCGTTCTTCTCGTAAAAGTTGTCCGGTTTGAGAGGAATCGCACATTGAGTGCATTTAAAGCAGTTCGGGTGCCAATCCTTGCCCTGCGCTCGGAGTATGTTTCCCTGTATTTAGACATAGGATGTGTGTAAATATCAAATGTAATAAAGATATAAATAAATAATAATGAGTTACGTCTTTAATAGGGAGTCGACAACCGGCACATTTGGGTGAGAAAAGTTTGTGATAGTCGTCCTCGCAATACGGTTTGCCATTTCGCTCAAAGAAATTGTTTGGTCCCAAAGGTTTGGCACATTCGGTACACTTGAAGCACTGCGGGTGCCACGGCTTGCCCATCGCGTTCACTTGAATGCCCTATCAATTCACATCAGATTTTTAATTATTGCCCAAACTTGACATTAAATAAATACAAAGTTTAACACTTACATCAGTGATGGGTGTCTTACATCCGGCACACTTTGGTGAGAATAGCTTATGGAAGTCATTCTCACAGTAAGGTTTGCCATTCTTTTCATAGAAATTGTTGGGTCCGAGAGGTTAAGTTTAACACTTACATCAGTGATGGGTGTCTTACATCCGGCACACTTTGGTGAGAATAGCTTATGGAAGTCATTCTCACAGTAAGGTTTGCCATTCTTTTCATAGAAATTGTTGGGTCCGAGAGGTATCGCACATTCCGTACATTTAAAGCAACCAGGGTGCCAATTCTTGCCCATTGCTTTTAGTACATTACCCTGAAATGCCAAATTACAAACTTTCAATTTATTAAATTTTTAAAATCTATGTAAAAATAATGCGGACATCTCTAATGGGAAGAGTGCACCCAGCACATTTTGGGGAAAATAATTTGTGATTACAATCTTCACAATAAGGTTTGCCATTCTTTTCAAAGAAATTATTGGGTCCGAGAGGTTTGGCACAGTTTGTACACGTGAAGCACATCGGGTGCCACTGTTTGCCCATTGCCTTCACTTGAATTCCCTTTAAATTTTTATTTAGACCAAATTTTAGACATTTTTTTATTTTATTTTATTTAGCTTTGAATTTAAATATTAGACTATAAAATACCACGCTAATAAATCAATCAAGTTTAATTAAACTAAAGTCATTATTATATAAATTCTTACATCAGTGATGGGAAGAGTGCACCCAGCACATTTGGGTGAAAATAGTTTATGATTGCAATCTTCACAATAGGGTTTGCCATTCTTTTCAATGAAATTGTTTGGTCCCAAAGGTTTGGCACAGTTTGTGCACGTGAAGCATCTTGGGTGAAATTGTTTTCCCATTGCATTTATTTGTTTACCCTATTATTAACAAATATATTATTAACAATTATATAATGACTGGCTATTAATTAATTTATACTGTAAAATGAAATATTTGTGCAAAATTATAATAATGTTTTGAATAAATAATTTTTAAATTAATTAAATTAATTTGAATGTAAAACATAATGACTTACATCAGTGATGGGTGTCTTACAAGCGCCGCATTTGGGAGAGAATAGTTTGTGATAGTCGTCCTCACAATAAGGTTTTCCCTGATATTCCTTATAATTATCCGGTGTTAACGGCTTAACACAAACCGTGCAAACGAAGCATTCTGGATGCCATGGCTTACCATTGATTGTCATCACACGTCCCTGTAATTTACAATTCATTTGTTAATTATAAAGTAAATTAAATTCACAATTTTTTCAAAGCATACATCAGTGATGGGAAGTTTACATTTAACGCATTTCGGGTCAAAGAGATTGTGGTAATCCTTTTCGCAATAAGGTTTCCCATTCTTCTCGTAGAAATTGCGCTCTTCGAGAGGAATACCACAAGTGGTGCACTTAAAGCAATATGTGTGCCACATTTTGCCAAGGGCATTTATCGCTTTCTATTTACGTAATAATTATAATTAATAATCATAAAATAAGCATAAATCTCATATAAAACTCACATCTTTAATGGGAAGATTACAGGCGCAACATTTGGGCGAATACAGCTTATGGTAGCAATCTTTACAATAAGGAGAGCCCATTCTCTCCACAAAGTTGTCGGGAGTCAACCGTTTAGTGCACTCAACACAACAGAAGCACTCCGGATGCCAAATACGGTTCAACACGTGATACCGATTCTGTAATTAATTGATGGTTAGGTATTATATACTTATGTTAACATTAATATAAATGGTTACATCTTGGGTGGACTTCTTGCACACAGTACAGGGCGGCCCAAACAGCTTCTCATAACAGGGCACACAATATGGTTTGTTTTCGTGTGGCTTATAGTTCTCGTTGTTTAGAGTAGTCGAACAATTAGTGCACCGAAAGCACTCCGGATGAAACATTTCGTCCATCACTTTCAATAGCTATAGACAATCAATCTATATTTTAGTATTTATTTTTAGCCACAATTCAGATATGAACAGTGTGGTTTATAGGATCGTTTGGCTATACCACCCCACCCCACCCTATGGGATTTAACACAGGATCCCAGCTTAAGTCTATAGGTAATGCTATATCTATGGTAATGCCAAGTCTGAGACCATATTAAATCCTTGAGCATCACCCGAATTGTGTTTAACGTATAGTATCGCTGTGTAAACCTTGTTTTATATGTAATTGATTAATTAATTTATAGTTTCAGGCATGGACAGTTTGTGTTTTAATAAATTTATGAATCAGTTCAAAGAAAACCTATTAAATTGAAATCAGTTCTTATCTCTAATGCTGACCACTATTAACATATCAATGAAGTAATAGGTGTAATATTGTCTCATTGTATCTTTGGTTTAATTTGTATTTTAAATTTAGTTTTAACATTCATATTAAGGTTTATAAAATCCTGTTTATAGGGTCCCCTCTGTACTCATATGTAAAATAATACATATTCAGTTTGTAACATGATGTTTAGTCTATGAGTACTACCTATCCTATGGTTTACTATTGAGAATATTCTATATCTATGGGTATTATTATATTTTATTGAATATTTCAATTATGTGAACTTAAATCATGTGAGAGTACAGTAAAAGAATTATATGTAAGTTTCAATTATAAATTATAATTTGCAACAAACTTAAGCTAATAATAATCTTTAGATAATTTGATAAATTTTGTAAACTTATCTAAAGGGTTAATTTTAAGTTTGCCTTTCAATAATAATATCATAAATTAGTATTAGTTTTGAAAGTATTTTTGACTAAAAATTTTGGCTCCTTTTCTTCATATAATGTAAATATTTTCAAAAAATTTAGTTCAAAAACACTTTCACTAAGAATTACAGTAATTGATTAGTATTTGTATAATATATTAACTTCTCGAATTCTGCAATGAGAGCAAGGTTAGCTCATATGCCAATTACTAACATAATAGAGGGTTATCCTAACAATTTTGCGGAACACATATTTACAAACCATTTAATAGTATATTAAAAATAAATATATTCACTAATAATCGGGTTATTATACAAACAAACAAATATACGGTTTAAAATGAGGAAATAATCAAACTAATAAAATATTTATTTACTCATTAATTAATATTGTATTTTTAAGATATGGTCGATTTTTATAATAAAATATACTGTATAAGTATAATGTGCTACAAACTAACCTTGCCAACAATATACTGTCCACAGGCAGCGCAGGGCCCCCTAACTGGTGGCGGACAGTACTCGTGATCCAAGTGATGGCTGTGGTATTTGCAGTGATGTTTCCCATCCTCTTCTATTATGATTTGTGGCACAGCCTTAGTCTCAATAGTTTTGGGCGGAATATTGATTGTATGGATCGGAGACGGGGTTCTCGGGTCTAAGGGCGACGGTGAGGGCGAGCGGCGATCGTACGTAACCTTACGGTTCATTCCGGGAGATTTGGCGGCTGAGGCCGGAATCTTTGCGAAGTGATTGTAATCAAACTTCTCGTTCTCATCGTATAACTTGACTCGACGTGAAGTTCTCGACGAACTTCTCTCTTGAGACCGACTCTCGCCATATCTTTTGAGTAGTTTCTCTTTGGACGTGTAGTCGAGCGTTGAGTCGATAGATGTGTCCATAATATTGGATGAGTTAAGCGCCTGATAGTCGGCGGCGTCCAGTTCTGACAGGACGGGAGACACGCGACCCGTTTGTTGGCCATTGGATTGATTGGTGTATTCGGTTGTCCGTAATTCGGACCGATATTCTGAGGATCGGGTGCCGGATATTAGTTGTGTTGAACTCAAACCCGAGGCGTGAAGACCCGAGTGTTGTTCACTCGAGAACTCTATTGTCTCCATTGTTTGATTCCCCGAAGAACTTCCCTAATGTTCACTCACTATTAGTTTTGTCAACTATTTTCTCAAATTAATTCAATTGTAACCAAACTCTTGTCACTAACAATGGTATCAAATATTTCGTTGCGTTTCATTTGACACTAAAATCACTACTATTTGTGAATTTAAGACAGACTTTAGGTTTAATTCGTTTAAATCGTAATTAATTATTAGTGAATATTCTATATATGGGTGTAATATATTGTAAAAATTTGATTCGCTTTTTGTTAGGAGAGAGAGAGAGAGAGAGAGTGCAGAGGAGAGTTGTCAAGCAAACCAAAATTAGTTTCAATAGCATTTACGTCTACTCTCTTCTCTCTCTCCTTCTCTTCCTCTTCTCTCTCTCTCTCTCTC